GGATTGATTTCACCGTCCGTCGCCATCACCACAACAGCATCTGCACAATGACATAGTGCAATGAGCCAAAATCGAAAACCATTATCACATCGACGAACCTAAGGAAAGGTTATTCGGGATTGTTAACCTTTGGACTGCCATTGTAAAATCGACCATGATCGTTTACAAAAACACTGCTCATCGGGGACCATGAACAAAATGGCCCAACTTTGGGACTTACTGCAACGATCGGTATTGCAGTATATCAATCGACACTTATTGGATATCGCTAAACACTGGAATGGATTCACGGCAAATGGTTGCCGCAACTCAACACAACGGATCAGGAATGCTGAACAAACCACACATACTCTTCTTCCAAGAAAATTGGATTCACCTTAACATGCAACGGTATTCTCCAAAAAATTACACGCGGACTTGGGTGAGATTTTGCTATGGTCTCGCAAGGACATATGAAAACATCAACACCACTACGATCCATCTTTGGTGTAAGGGCTCAGAGGAAAATTCAACACCGATCGACACTTGCACGATTTCCACCGATACTGGAACCGGTCAACAATACGGAAGGCAGTGGCGGATACGAACAAATAGCCCAGTTTTCTGGAAATCTCACACCTGTAATCGGCAATCTATACACCCATCCGGATTAAAATGAGGACACTGCTTATAATTCACACACGAATTTCGGATATCTACGGATTCATCCCACCTGTTTCCACAGGTAATTATTATTTTAGTGTGTGTCCAATCGAGGCTACACGGAATACCATTAACACGAAACTTTACGATATTTATTCGATCTACTGCGATTCACCGATCCGGAGCAATCAACCGCACTGTTCGACAAGTGTCAACAGACTGGATATATGGAAATCCACAACTCTATCATCCACTACGGAATGGTTTGAATAGTAAACATGGAACGCTCAACACAACCGAGGAATGGCACCTACGAGCTACGATCACCGTCACTTGGATCTCGAAGTTTAATGTTCGATCGAAGTCGCATCCTCGCACAGTTTGAAAAAGTAGTGTAAGTTTCTGTTCAATATGATGCACATAAATGGAACGTCACATATCATATACGTTTACATTATATATCATGTAACGTTCTGACACATTTCATGCAATGTAGCAAATATTTTATACAAAAGCCCATTGTTGTAAACAACATTGTTTGCAAGTTGTTCGGTTGCGTGAAATGAAATGCAAGTCTACGTGAATGAATGTTTACATCACAATTAAAATTCAGAATTTTTATCTGTGCGGAACATCTCGGATCAACAAGGTTCGGGGTAGCTCATATTCAAGGTTACTTACTCCCACTACGATGTATTGGACTTCCCGGAATGCTGAAATGGGGCCAACACAACTATTCAAGTCAAAATCAAAATGACTTTACCAGCTGTGCCTCTCTGTAAGGTAAGCAGCTTTGCACGGTATATGCCTAGTTGAGATAGGACTACTCGGCAGAAAATTACATTCGCACCTCTCTTTTCGATACCTACCAAATCGGCTGTTATGTCATCTATCGAGACATCGCAGCAAATACGGATAGGAGGAATTTCATCACGCAATTTCGGAAGGTTCAGACGATGGACGATACGCTGAACATAGCTACGGTATCCACCAACATTTATACTCCAACCCTTTTTTTTGCATGTGCAGTGCATTATGTGCAGTGCAACTCATCATAAACGGATGGTCACCAATACGCAACAAGGTCATCCGATCAACAATTTCCCTGGGCACTGGCAAGGTTAAATCCTAGATTCATTCAGCATCCAACAGATTCGCAAAGGGTAGTTTTCTGTATTTGACTGTAAACAAACGGTTTCGGCGATTCCAACATCAGTTCACGGTTTCAAGAATTCATATACAAAGGACCACGGGCACACAGAATATCTGTTTTCATCGCCTATGGCACAAAGGGTGTCAGACTCCAATCCATCGGATTACGGACAGGGAACATCCGATTTTAATTCCAATGGTACACGGGCACATGGGTATTTGCTCTAACACAATATGGTACACGGAAACAATGGGTATCCGAGCCTTACCTCTCCAGAACGAACGCTAGGGGCGTCAGTGTTCATCTCCTACGGTACATGGGTACAAAGAGTCACCGTTTCCTACACCTATGAACCAGGACACTAGGCGTGTCCGCTTCCTACTCCTATGGTGCATGACTCCAATTAACCAAGGATAGGTATATGGATACATGGGGTGTTCATAATTCAGGCAACGGACGGGTGTTCGTTGTCAAATCCCGGCAATGGTCACACAATTACCACCCAGAGCATCCAGACACTAGTGGCTCACTAATTAGCATTTTCAACCGCTCACGGATGATTGTCAGCCACCAAAGCTCTCCAATCCTCATGAACAAGGGACGTTCACCGAGCACTACTCAATCAGATGAATATAGGGTATTCATCACATCATGGTCCAACGGAACCAGGAGCGCAAGAAATGGAACCGCATCCAAGTTGGTCAGTCGTCAATTGTGCTGAAGGCAATCGACTCTCACCACAACACCAAACACCAAAGGAGTCAGTATAATCGATATACGCATGCCAATAGGATTCGATCAACAGACGCTAACATAATTCGATCGTGATCAATATCACACTGATGCAATAGCTGTGACGAAACACCAACAAGGAACGAACAAGGCAAGGAATGCAGGCAAGCTAAGAAAATCCGAAGAATGTTATAGTAGGCAACGGAGATCTACTGATAAGTAGTTTCATCGCAAGCGAATCACAAACCATACCAAACTGAACCATCTTCATGCAACACAACCGAAACCGATTCGTGGATGTGGGTGAGAACATCAACGCATTCTTTCATCTGCGAAATCCAAGGAGTGGATGGACTGAACCAGGTTGAAGGTTGTTGAGGAATAGTACATAGTAAGGAACAAGGATCAAGGACAAGGATAGGGATTGGAAATTGCTAGTATGTACTAAATACCTAAAGGAAGAACCAAGAGTCAAGGCGGGCCATGATAAGATTTCAGAAATCATGGATTCCAGGGTGGGGAAGGATCTCTGCTCATGCTCACATTGTTTGCTTGTCGTGTTTTATGAGGAATTTTCCATCGTTGGGTTTAAGTAGTTATATCATCAACTAGATCATAACTTGTGTATTGTGATATGAGGGGCTCGGCTGCCTTTGACAGCCGTTTTTGCTTACTGAGCAGAATCGTGGGATCGAACCCAGGTCCCATCATATTAAGGAGTTTAAACTACTAAAACTTTCATCGTCGTCGTCGTCAGTGCCTTGTAGAAATGGTTACAGCAACTCGATCATAAGTGATATGTTGTTATATGAGGGGATCGGTGGCCTAGAGTGACCGTTTCTGCTTACTAAGCAGAAAATCATGAATTTAATCTCGTTAAATCGTTTTCTCCCTTAAGTGAACCCTACACGATTGCTGTTATTGACAACAATCGTATTGTTAATAGACTCATATTAACGTCAATGCATCGATATTGACAACATTTCTGTATTCACAGCATCAATATTATTGTAAATAATTCTCTTTCGCGTCAATATATTGATAGGTATGAGGTTCGCTTTAACTTGCAGCCATCACTTTAATCCAGCGTACCGTTTGCCAAAACGAACACTGCTGCAAACCCGACACCTTTTCTTCAACATCCCAGTGATTTCTCGTGGAAGTGCAGAGGATTTCTCGGCTTCCAACAACGAGTATCACGTCAACATATTCCTCCTATTCCAATTGACCTGCATTGGACGTGGCCGGCGCTGTAAAGGTTAAGATCATCAGTTTTACAGATTGAGGATGTATGTTAGTCCAAAGCATCCTGTTGGTTCACTGTGTAACTACAGGTGATCTACAGAGTAGCAACCGTGGGTTGTAAATCATGCTCATGTTCAAATCCGTTCGAAAAAGATATGATGAGCTGTGTACTCTTTGATTCGTTAAAATTGTTATTCATTGCTGAAAATGATTAATTTGCTTGATACACATAATCGAGGTACTTGGTCTATAGACCCAGTCTACATCCCATAAGCCTACTATGTTTGTTTACGTTATTTCGTTATTTCTAATGGTGAATTCGTTTATTATCGGGGTTGGAACAGTGCGAAACCGAACTTTTTGTCAGTGCGAACCTCAACCTGAGCTAGGTTTTTAAAACAAACGAGCAAACTGACGTTTGTCAGAAAACAAGCAGACCCAATCTTGATACCCGATCCAGGTTGGAACTGAATAATAAACGAATTCGCTATAAGTGTTTACGATTGCAAATATCGTACACGCTCTAAATTGACAACTGTGCCAATGCTTATAGATCTAAAAAAGTGTTGCAATTACCATTTTTGACTGTAATATATGTAAAATTTCTAATTAATTCCGTTCTTGGCGTTGGCGTACATTTATCTCGATCATAAAATTAATTGTATTTATAAAGGTGATTTATTGTTGCGTCCATAAATGGCCGCTACGTAGGCTATACATACACTTCCACTTCGAACTTTCAATTACACAAATCTCGGAAATCAGTGCCCAATCCCACCTGAAATTGCTACTTCATGTATGCTGCAGTGCAGCAAACGTGGAGTAACAATTTGAATGTTACACGTATCGTAGAAGCTTATATTTGTGCACTTAAAATTCGAAGTGGTTACGACAATAAGGATGTCACAGCGAAAATATTTGTGTCGTACACATGGTCTACCTGTTTCCTAGATGCGAATCACCGCATAACCCACCGTTTTGGAATCGATTTTTCATGGGAAGCGTGAGGATATAAAATCGAGCTCAATCAGAATGAATGCATAAATTTGCCAAACAAAAATTGATGTCGGTTACTGTAAAAGCAAAAGGGCAGGAGTAATGTGCTAGCAAAGTACAATTTGCCAAGTTGTATTTTTCTTTCAGCCCACCAGCGGTCCTATTTTTTAGTTCCACCTTTCCACATTTTCAAGGACCTTGTGAATTATCATATTCATTGTTCTAATTTCAGGTTGTCGAGGACTGGAAGTTCGTATCGATGGTGTTGGATCGATTTTTCTTGTGGGTATTTACAATTTCTTGCATCTTCGGCACGTTCGGAATCATCTGCCAGAGCCCGTCGCTCTATGACACTCGTGCTCCCGTTGATCAACAGCTGAGCGAGATTCCACTCAGGAAGAACAACTTTATGCTACCACCAGATATAGTGCGAATCACGTTGGATTGAATGTTTATAGGCTCGGTTTTGACGTACAATGTACTCGAACTTGATGTTTTTTTTATAGGGAAATGTTGTTCATGGTAAAAACACCTGTAACTCATTGACCTTTAATAGCAATCATTTGAATTATGCGGTACAGTGAAGTTTTATAACACACAACTATGCACTATGGTAAAATCCGTAATGTTTTATCATTATTGCATGAATAACAAATAATTCCCAAAGTTCGTATGCACAAAAATGATTTACTTGTGGTTGTGGATTGAAAAACAATTCGAATTGATCAAAAAGAATATTCAACACATATGGTTTTTATATTTTGTGCAAATACAAAATTTTATTCAGGTACACTACATTACAATAACATACCTGACCCGTATCTGGTCAAACGCCTGGGCTTTGATATTTTTTCTTAAAAATATTTTTACTGTTATTGGTTGGTTTTTTTGAATTTCTTTTAAATAATTTAAGAAAAAATAAATTTATGAGTTTTCAGCATGATGTTAATGTGTTCTTTGGCTTCACAGATTTTGGGATTTGATAATATGAATACTTATTACTAGTATTAAAGATCATGTGGTACTTTGCACAATAAGAAAATAAACATTTAAAAGCGTTCCTAAGACTTGCTCTGTTATCATTGTTAGATATCACATCACATCCAGGAAAATTGTTTCACCTTGGTTCTTAGATATTTTACCTTGGGTGGATCCAATTGCAGTGTAGGAACTAAAGTTTCGTACATCCAACAGACAGATATGAGGTAAGGTGCGGGAAAATCTGTAATTCACAAATCATCGCATCTTTGATTTTTTCACATATATCTGTAAAAATTACAGGAAAACTGTAAAACAGTTTACCGAAAGTTCAGATGTTGAGATTTCGGTAAAAAATTACAGAAATCTGTGAAATAATCTTAGTGTGATAGCTTGTGTAATGTTGCTTTCTTTTAAACTTTTGATTAGTTTAGCAAACTATTATTTAAAAAAAAATTGAATAACAGTGATTTTGTCTATACAATTAACTGAAAAAATGGTCTTGAGCAATTTTGTCGGAAAATATTAATTGTGGACCGGAAACGAACCAGCTCAGGTCTGAAATTCTCCTTAATAAAGATATAAAAATAATATTGTGGAAAGTGCTACTTATTCAGTACCGTCGTTTTTGAACCATTTCTGCATTCGTATATGGCTTGGAAAGCACAATTATACACTATGCCCAGGATCGTTGAGAAATTTACCACACCGAATATCTACTTTACCGGACTGAAAATTGTCGGAATCAACCCTGTTGCCGCAGCATGGTAAGCCACGCATTTCTTTAAAAAAATATATTGCAAGTATCGTTGCAAGTAGCATCACGTTCCCGGTTATACTTTTCAATACAGTCTGTCAATTGAGTGTTATGTTGTAACTATGATGAAAAACACTTAACTGCCATCGTTAAAACTTATCTTCTCGGTGATGATGAGCCCATCTGGCCCCTTAGCTTCACAGCTCCTTTCACAGCCAAAGCACCCGTTATCGCTTTTCATACTTTTCAAGTCCACCGATACTTCACGTCCCCTTCCCGGATTTTCCCGTTTCCGTTGCTAAGTATCATAAATCTGAAAGAGATCAGCTTTACGCTTTCACCATGCCTCGGGTTGAATAAAAGGCGCACAGGGATAGCGGTAAGAATGAAAGTAGCGTTCAGAAGGGAATCGCCAGTTTGAACGAGTTTCAATATCTGACTTTCTTCCGCCACTGATTCCCGTGATGGTGCTATTCGATGGCAAGAATGTTCAACAGCTTGGCAGCCACTTGATAGCTGCAGCTGGTAGATGTGAATTTTACCACTTCGTTTTCTTCTTCACTTTCATTGGCTACTCTAGGACAAAATTTACCATCTTCGGTTTTGTCTCTATTATTATTTTTATTCACCAATTCAAGAAGGGTTCTCACAATTAAATTGGGATTCTTGAGTAATATTTGACAATTAAAATTTAAGATATTTTTTTCATTTGTTTTTGTCAATACTTCATATCAGTCATATATACCTAATGACGCTAAACATATTTTTTATATTGTATCAGTTATTTATGTATGCAAATTGCTGCAAATCAGCTTCTGTAATTAAATCCCCGGTACAGTGTTGAGAAAATATAAAAAAATCAAATCTCAATCCTTCCCTTGATCACGCTTGATTTTCGTGCACAAATATCAATAATAAAACAGCAGCAGATAATGTTACAAGCTGTGATATCGTTGCTCCGAATATCAAGCTAACAAAACTCACCAGCTACAATTATCACCAAACTGTGGTGAGCTTGAGTTTCAAGGTTTTTGCTTTACACCAGAACGCGACCCGAAATCACCGCTGGCAGCAGAGAAGTAAAGAGAGATAGCAAACTATTCTATCTCTTTCTAAAAAAACGATGCGCAACGTAATCATTTTTGCGTCGAGTCAACTCTCACATGCTATTTCACATGTGATAAATATCCTCGCAGTATTAAAAGAGTTTGTAAACTAAATATCAAGCTATCAAGCATGATTTTTTGTTCCAATACCACGCGTTATATTAAGAACGTATGATAATCAGGCATGAAATCCCCGCATTTTTGCTGAAAAGTACCAACAAGTCAATTGCAATAGAAGATTTTTCACTGATGGATCACGCATTGATGGATCCACTGGCTTCGGCGTCTTCAATGAATACTCAACCGCCTTTCGGAAACTTCAGGAACCTTGTTCCGTTTATGTTGCTGAGCTAGCAGCAATCAACTTCGCATTGGGGATGATTTCCGATATGCCCATAGACCATTACTTCATCTTCTCGGATAGTCTCAGTTCGATTGAGGCTATTCGGTCGATGAAACAAGGTAGGCACTCATCTTATTTCCTTTCAAAGGTAAGGGAACAGATGAGTTTGCTGGTCGAAAGATCATATATGATTACCTTTGTATGGGTCCCCTCACATTGCTCAATCCCAGGCAATGAGAAGGCAGACTCTCTCGCAAAGGTGGGCGCACAACAAGGCGAGATTTATGATAGAAGAATTTCACATGATGAATTTTTCCCATTAGTACGTCAGAGTTCTCTTTTAAGTTGGCAAAACGATTGGACAAATAATTCTCTTGGGCGGTGGTTACATTCCATTATTCCAAATGTTTCTTCGAGAGCGTGGTTCAAAGGTCTGGATGTAAGTCGGGGATTCATTCGAGTGATGTCAAGACTTATGTCCAACCACTACTCGCTAGACGCACATCTCTATAGAATAAATCTCGTTGACAGCAATATATGTAGGTGCAGAACCGGTTATGATGACATCGATCACGCAGTTTGGTATTGCCCGGGTAATGACGCCTCCAGAGCACGACTATTGGATACCCTAGTGGCCCGAGGTAGACAACCCTTCCGTGAAGTAAGAGATGTATTGGGAACACGTGATCTTCCCTACATGCAAGCGATCTACGAATTCCTTTGTTTGTCTGATGTTAGAGTTTGATGTGACTATCCCCTCCTTTCCAAACAATTTCCCGCCATTGTGTCCCAGTCTTATCCTGTTCATGTGCTACTTGCCCCTGCCCAGCCAGGATTTGGTCAACCGTCCGAGAGTAGTATCTGAAGGAGGCTTCAGAAACCAGTTTCCTACCTAGATCCTTCCAATTGAAATTGTTACCTATTAACCTCGAGCTCGCCACGAGTAATTGGTACCCAATACTAACCTAGAAATACTGCTATTTAAAATGTAAATCAAACATTACTGATTTTGGCTCCGCAAAGTGTCACACACGACTGAGCCTAATAAATAAACGAACTAGTTAAAAAAAAAAAATCAGGCATGAAAAATCATTCATTCAGTACATTCATTTGCATTCGTTTGCCTCTAATGTTTTCATCAATAGAATTACGGAAAATGATGTATGAAGTTATTATAGGTTTTGATATTAGCTATATTTTTTTGTCAATAACTCAAATCTGTATCTCTTATACAGGGTGCGTGACGAATTTTTGCAGTAAATGACATATTTGAGAAAAATTACACCAGTTAGCTATTCTAGCAATGAATGTTATGTGATTTATTTTCTTTCGCAAAATATGGAAGTTGTAACTAATTTTATTCAAAAAAATCGCCTTCCCTTTCGACGACTGTAGCTAGACGCTTCCATATGCACGTTTGACAATGTTTTAATCCATAGATGTCATCACTACCTTGATTTTAGATTTTAGGGACTTAAGTGTGGTGTTAGGGGTTCTATTGGTATTCCGTTCGACGATGCTCCGTACAAAATAATCCAACGGATTGATATCGGGACTGCTTGGGGGCCAAATTTCTTTCTCCCAAAATTCCGAAATATTTTCCGCAAGCCATTTCTGTGTTTTATTAGCAGTATGAGCAGGTTCTCCGTTTTATCACTTTCTCAGGCCTTTTTTATATTATACACTGTTCTTTCAGACACATTTATCCACCGAATTATTTCTATTACGCTTACTCCGGCGCGCAACAAAGCGACAGCGGCTGACCGATTGCTCTTTTGTTTCGACATCTTTACGTTTACTCAACACTGTTTGTTTACATCTTACACCTAACAGTATGAGCAATTCAGTGCTGCCAAATATATCTAAATCATGATCCGCAAGCATGAGAAATTACTATTTGAAATTTACTGCAAAAATTCGTCACGCACCCTGTACATGCCGAACTAGAGCGGCTACCCCGTAGCGTGGGTAGATCACCTTTTCGTGGTGTGATAGTGATAAGTCCTCGGGTTGCCTGAACCGAGGATGATCTTGAAACAAGTTAAAAATAGTTAGTTAGTCTTGATCATCTATGCGATTCTTAATCTTCTATTCGTTGTTCCCTAGTTTGAAGTGGTTAAGACTTGGGTTCTGGTCCTTATCGGTGTCATTACTTAATTTTGTTGCTAAGGAATCCAATTTTGACTGACAAAGGGTCGCGTCTTTGGAGGGTGTTTCAACACTCCGAAGGGTATAAATAGCGGGACCTTTGTATTAGAGTCGGATCCTTGCGATAAATGCAAGAATGGCAACTTTTGGGCTAGAATGATATTCTTGCCACGTGCGGCCCGCGGGCAGCGCTGGTCTAATGATTTCATAATTCCGAAAAACAGTTTTTTATAGCAAGTGCGTGGAAGCAACCCTGCTGACCAATAGAATTTTCGTTTTATGGTGGGCTATCTGCATCCTGTGCGCCGCCGCGCCACGCCGCCGCCGTCGGTGCTTTTTCATACGCCGCCGCCGCCGACGATTTCGAGTCGGCGCGCCGCCGAGACCATTTTTCATACGCCGATGACGATTGTGCTTGTTAGATTTTTTTTTAATGAAAATGCAATTACCTCGATTCCCGATACCCATGTTGCTTATCATATTCAATAACTGCAAAGTATGCACATAAAGCAAAACAATATTAATATCAAAATACGTTGAAATTTTCATTTTTAGACAATGATTTTAAATTGATTTAAATAATATTTACGTATTGTGCATTGTAAGATTTTTTTTTTATTAATTAGTTATGCGCAAACATTTATGAAACTACGTATTATTTTCGGTGCACTTATTCCTTATGAGCCAAGGAATAAGTGCCCA